AACCTGTGTCCTTTTCTAAAGGAAAATTTGAAATATAGATAAGCAGGACAGAAGAAAGATGGTCTCAGTGATGCCAGCGGAAGCCGGTGATGAGCTCCAGGTTTCCAGGTAGAAGAAAGAAGAGCCTGGGAACTGCCCTAAGTAAGAAAAAATGTCCCTAAGGCTTAAACATCAACTTGAGGGCCTGGCAAGGTGCCATGGCCTCCTGAATGACAAGAAAGATATTGCCGACTTACATCCCCAAATGACTCCCAAGTGTATTTCATTATTCTGTTGCTTTTTTTAAAAAATAGAGCACCAGTGTAACTGTATCAGTGTCCAAGCATGAAAAATGAGAAAAATTCCTTTTTGAGAAAAGAAAGCAAAGAGTGAATTGACTTTACTATTCTTGTTTGTTTGTTTTTTAATAAGTTCATTCACTAGAAATTATCTTTGTATTCTATGAGTGCATAAACCATTTTTTTCTTTACCATCATTACTAAGGCTCTTTTTTTCATTTTCTATTTGATGATTGATAGCGTTAACATTGATAAATGATAGACTCTTCCCCTTCACCGTGTAGGGTTCTCATAATTTTCGGAAATCTCCTGAGTATTATTTTAATTTCATAATTCAATTACTATAGTTTATTTCATTTCACACATTTTCAGTATTCCTAGCGATTGACTGTAAATTTCATGGAAGGATGGGAGAGCACAACATGTCCATCCGTTATTCACAATAGAATCAGCTATGTTTTTCTGTCCTGTGTGTTCAACTCTGGCATTATTAGGACTATTTTTTAAAACTAAATTTTTTTTTAATCAGTAAAAATCTACCCTCTCTCACTCTCCCAAATTGGGCATGAAAGAAAAACAAAACCCATGCTACAAAAACACATTTGAGCAAAACAAATTTCCACAATGGTCATGTCTAAAAGAAATCTATATGTGTATGTGTATGTATACTTCTATGTCCATATGTCTCTTTTTGCACTCTGAATCTTTGATCTCTCTATCAGGGCTCGGGTAGCAGGTTTCATTGTTAATTCTCTAGAATTGTGACTGGTCATTATGTTGACCAGAATTTCTAAGTCTTTCAGTTTTGTCTTTACAATGTTGTTGTCATTGTATAAATTGTTTTCCTGATTCTGTTCACTTAACTTTGGGTCAGTTCCTCTTCCCAGGTTTTTCTGAGATCATCTCCTTCATCATTTCTTACAGCACAACAGTATTCCATCACATTTATATACCTTGTCCAGCCATTCCCCAAATCATGGGTACCCCTTAAGTTTACAATTCTTTGCCACCTTAAAAAGAGCTACATTTTTGTACATCTTTAGAGTTTGTTTTGCTGAGCAATAATCCTTCCATTAATGTATCCTTCCTCTTATCTTTTCCTTGTTCTATCCATTTTCCCATATTGAACTTCCCAGTGGTCACAAAATTTATGATTAGGTTGCTAATACTATATTGACGGCTGGTTCTACATCACTGACCCTCTCCCACTCACGTTCCTTTCTCCCAGAAGCCTCAAAAACAGACAATAGAAATAAGTTTGTAGAGGTTCCATTATTCATTATTCGTTTACTATAGCTTAAACCAGACTAGTATAGACATATTTCACCTTCTGCTTTTACATGGTATAATTCAAAGATGAAGGGAGAATGGCTTTTTTTTTTTTATCAACCCCAAGTTCATTTCCCTCTAAGGGAAGTTAAGATCCTCAGGGTAGTACCATAGCACTTAAGCCTACATAGGTCCTTCAGGTGATAGTGGGACTCAGTGGAATGGGAGGAATAGTGTCTCTAGCAACTTTTTTTTTTACAACTTTTTTTTTTGGCTAGGCAATGGGGTTATGTGATTTGCCCAGGGTCACACAGCCAGTAAGTATCAAGTGTCTGAGGTCGGATTTGAACTCAGGTCCTCCTGACTCCAGGACCAGCGCTCTATCCAATGTGCCACCTAGCCACCCTCTCCTTGGCAACTTAAAAGAGCATCCATAGGTCTAGAACTGAAAGGCATCTCTGTGGCCAACTTATCCAACTTCCTTCCTTTGCACATGAGGAAACTGAGACCCACGGCTGTTATATGACTTGCTCACAGTCACACACATAGTAACCATCAGAACCACAGTCTGATCCAGGTCTTCTAACTGTATAGCTATTCTCAATCTCTTATCCCATACTAAGGCATAACTCTACATCTATATGGTCTATGACAGATGGGTTGTGCCAAAATTTTAGGGGATTGGCTAACAACCTCAAGTTTATTTTGGGACTCTTCCTATGAGAGAAGATGGGACTTGTGAGAGCTGTAAGACAAGCAAACCAAATTTTTAATGAACTATTGTTTTCTGCATTCTGTGACTGCTTGTTACCCAATATACATTCTTACCTTGAGGGTTTGTGTGGGAACTGGGCTCCTTTTACCTATATCTGTACTATCCTAAGACCTTTAATTTCCCATAGCAGAAGGAAATTAATTTGCGGCTGATAAAGGCAGTTCTCTTTCCACTGGATTGCACCATGTTAAAACAAAGGATGAAGGAATACTCTGGTTTAGGCTAGGATATGAAGTAGTTCTTGAGATTTCCATGGGAAACTCTAAGTAGGGGCAAAATAAGCCAAAGAAATATAATAAGAAGCAGTGCTGTAATAGCAGAAAGTCCTAAATTGGAGTCAGAAGATTTGGGTCCAAATTTGGCTCTGTCAGAATGTGACCTTGCACCAGTAACTTAATCTCTCTGTTCAGTCGTTGCAGTTGTGTCCAACTCTTTGTGACCCCATTTGGGGTTTTCTTGGCAAAGATAGTGGAATGGTTTGCCATTTCCTTCTCCAGCTCATTTTACAGATGGGGAAACTGAGGCAAACAGGGTTAAGTGACTTGCCTGGTGTCACACAGCTAGTCAGTGTCTGAAGCCAGATTTAAGCCCACGAAGATGAGTCTCCCTGACTCCAGGCCCAGCACTCTATTCATTGTGCCACCTCTCTACTCCTCAGTTTTCTCAGCTACAAAATGATGGGGTTGAATTAGATGACCTCTGAGGGCCTGTTCAGCTCTAAGTCTGTGCTCCATTAAAGACTGGGTCTGCTCTCTGTAAGCCAAATCTGAGGTGCTGAGCCATAGGCTAGAGATACATGCAAATACAGTAACAGTTGAACAATACATAGAGGTGGCGTTATCTAATAATAATAAATAAAAATTTAAAATAATAATTACAGAATTAGCTTGGGTCATATTCTCCTAAATTGGGCACATATACACATACCTGCAGACAGGATGTCCATATACTAAATTATTATAAATGGAGTATGAGATATGGTGCCAAGTACTGGTATGCTTACTACTAAGCTGATATCTGAAGGAGTTAAAACAGGTTGGTTTAAGATCCTTACCAATAGAGGATGGTTAGATTTTCTTTGGCTACATTGCTTGCTTGTGTTATCCTATGCTTCTCCTTAAAACTCCCTACAAAAAACCATGATCTCAGGATAGGGGAATAAAAGGTTAATCTGGGTGGGAAAGAAGTAGTTAAATCATATTTAGAGTTTGAAAACAACCTCTTGATATTTAAAAAGGGTATTTAAAAATCATAACCATTAATCAGTTGAACAGAATTTTCCTGGAATGACCAGAATAAATGTTTGCTGAAGCAAAATCAGAATTGGAAAGTGAAAACATACATGCCTAAGGCTGGAGAAAAGCTAATTTTTGTTAAACAAATTAAAGCAGTTGGATAAGAACAATTCATCAGAGAAAAACATTCCTGAGCAACCTAGCTAACACTGCCAAGGTTAGCAGAACCTCAGATGAGCTTTTTCTTTTTCTTTTTCTTTCCCTCTGTGCCAGTGATCGTGAGGAAAAGTCTTTCCTGCAAGATCGCTAATTCAGCCTTATAACCAGTCTGTTACTCAATGCCCCAATATAGTGAAGAGGACTAATTGAATTTTTTTTGTGACTTTTATGTACCTCCTACAGCAAGGACTGAATGTAAACATTTTAGTACATTTTCTATGCCACTTTGCAAGATTCTTCCAAAATATTTCAACCACCTACAGTCAATAAGTTTAATTTGCTCACTGGCATTTGCTCCTCTGTTTTCTTCTTTTTTCTGCATTCTTGAAAAATGTTATTTTAATCGATTGACTCATGAGTCTCTGTACAGTATACCTGAGTGATTTCTAAGTATGGTCATTTAAAAAGCCACAAAACTTATATCTTTCATTCAAATGAAGGAGCCATGTGGTTTTGGGAAACAGAAGAAAGTAGTGAGGATATTTTCATTATTTTGAAAAATATACCATGGTATCATCCTTACATGTGTAAACCACTGGATCTTAAAGGTGTAGTTGTCATCCTCTTCAACCAGAAAATTAACCCTTTAACTAACCATTCACTACGGGCTTAAGTTCTTTCCTGGGTGTTAAAATTGTCGTAACTCTTTTAGACCACTTGGTGTATCTTTGGGTAGCAATTTCCTACTCTGGTGAGACAATATACTGTCTTTAACACCCAAAGAGCTGCTGTTATTTGTTTAGTAGTTGAGATATAAGTGTGTAGCTCCACCATGCCCAAGATCACATATTTTCAGCTAGAGCTGGGGAAAAAAGCCTGTGACTGTGAAGTGAAGGCTAATTGGCCCTGATTAATGAACCTTTGCCGTAAGATTAAGTCATTTCCTTTCTGAGAAAGGATGTAGCTTCCAAAATGTTACAAACTATTCCCAAGGTTAAGTAACTTGGTCTTTTTCTTTGAGCAAGACATTTAATGCCTCAGTTATGCTTCACCATATATCTACATTATGTATTTATTTTTTAAGGAAAAAAACCTCTTATTGCTGCCAAGAAAATCCCAAAGCACAGGAGGCCAGGAAATGAAGTTAGGCAAGAGTTTGCATGTGTTATGTATGTATTGTATGTATGTATACACACATATATACATCTATTTCTAGTTACTTATGTATCCACACATGAGTACAGTCAAATCTTTATTAAGTAGTATAAAAATGACACAACAAAATTAAGCTAAAACATGGTTACTTTTTTATTTAAAGAAAAAATGATATCTTAATAAATACTGCAGGAACATTAACCAAACAAACATACAAAGTGACTTCAACATTTAAAAAAAGTAATGAATGTTCTGTTTTATAACAGTTATAACTTATTTTCTTTGTACAATATTTAAATACAGAAAGCACTTGCCAGCTAGTTTTGTAATACTGCCCAAAGCATAATGCTGCATCAATCAAAGCATATTATGTGAGTAAAACATCTGTATTTTGTGGGAAATGACTGGAATGGTATTTTCTTGCAGAGACAAAACAAAGTGCTTGTAAGACATAGAACCAAGTGTTGTAATTACCTTAATCTCCTATCCTGCCACATTTTAATGGGAACACAGCTTTAACACTTCAAAAATGAAGTATCATCATTGGAAAGAATGCTCGTTTTCAACAAGCGCCAATAACGAACTGGTCAAGTCTATCCTTCTTCTTTGAAAGAAGCTCTAAGAGGAACTGGTCAGAAAATATCTGCAAACTGTTTGAGAGGCTGATTTATCTTCACCTGACATAAGAAATCGGTCCACAAAAGAGGGACTTGGCTGACTCTGGCTACCTCCAGTTCAGCACCCACTCTCTAGATATGTACATGCTCGTTTTAGAGAATTGATGCTATATCCAGTTTCCACTTGGGAGCCCTTAAAGCTCTACTGTACTTCTGGCTCCTTCTCCTATGAATGCTATTGGAAGAAAATGAAATAAGTAATACTCAAGGATCATCAAATATGGCCATTCTGGAGATTATCCATGTACCAATTCAACAACCGGCCATGCTGATTTGAAGTTGTACTCATTCAGATTCAAAAAACTTTGCTTATAATCTGTGCTTTTCTGCTATCATTCCTTCACGCCATATAAAACCTGGTTAAAACTATCTAAGATTTCTTTTCCCCATGGATCCTTCCATAACCACAACTCACAGAAGTTTTTATATAACTTTGCAGTTTCATCTATGATGGCACAACCCTACAATGTATTTTCTAAGGGCACAAAAAGAAAACTCAGCGTATTACCACTTTTCAAATGACAATTACATTGATGAACAGAAATATAAGACTGAACAATAACTGGCAGATTCTTTCTACTTGGTCTATTCCATCTCTTGTCGTGCTAGTCTGCAGGCCTTGAAAAAATGCAAAAGGCTTTCTTCACGACTATCTTGTTCAGCTATCTCAGGAAGGCAACATTTCAAAGCCTCGTACAGCGTTTCCTCTCGATACCCCATGGGTCTTGATATAATTTCCATTTTAATGATGAGCTGGGAGGAAATTAGATCACATCCTCTGGAAAACTAAACTCTAAGGTCACAGTGCCAGTTCCCCAGTGAGGAGGGTGTATTAATATTTTTAAAAGGAGATTAAAACATTTAAAAATTAAATCAATGCAGATAGCCATGAATAGATTGTTAAGAAAAAAAAGCAAGCACCAGACAGGGTGTGATTTTTCTTCTTGGAGGTACTCATTCCCCTCCTCATCTATTTCTAGAACAATTGAAGCTCTCCTTTTTTGGCTTATCTTCCAAGTCACATTTTCAAGCTCTTCAAAGTCTTCTCTTCCCATCACTTGGTCTACATGCTGAACCCTTAAGTACAGTATCCCACAAAAGATGAAGAATATCCTTTAAAATGGTCGCTAAGCCTCCATCATATATCACTTTGGCTGCGTACTCCATTCGATCTTCACCTTTTCTCATTGGATTTTCTTGTACCTCCTTACAGAAATCCAACACATTCACATTACAGTGCAACTCTTTGCTTTGTCCTTTCGTAAGTCTGTAGCAACTGTTGACAGTTCTGGTCTGCCAGGCATATGTGAAATCCGCTTTGTTGCCCTTTGTGATTTGTTTCGCTTAACATTTTTATTTGTCTTATTTACACATGCCAAGGTGGCAACATGGAAAATGTCTCTTACACTGTTTTCCGACTGTAAGGCTGAGCATTCAATATAAGTAGCTGCTCCGATTTGTTTGGCCATGTTTGCACCCTGGGAAGAAAAAAGAGGACTTTTCAGTCAACAGCAAGACTTTTGGGAAAAGCCATGGTAACATCTTCTGCTGCCTATAAAATAGCAAGATCACAAACATTCTATAACATATTGAAATAATTTTTGTCAAATATCCTAGGAAAAATTATCATTCTAACTGGAATTGACCTTCTTTACAGCTTTTAAGAATATTTGCAACCAGGACTTCGGCTAATCATTAGGAACAGCATTCAGAGACCTTTCTCCCTTCCAGCTAATCAAACAGTATTTACTGAGCACTACACTAGGGCGCTGTGCCTTCAATGAATTAGGCCAACTAAATCCAAGCTATCCAGTGTGCTTGGTCTAAGGTGATTCAAAGAAGCAAGGGCACTACTAAGGAAGTGATTCACCATCATTATCAACAGCAAGAGCAAATAGTTACTGAACCAGTGGCAAGTCTCCCGGGGTCACAGCAAAACAGAGCAAGACACATTACCTCACAATGCCTGGACAATCCTGACTAAAGAAGACTTGGTGATCTGAATCATTCCAGCACATAACAAAATTTTCCATTTGACTTTGGAAACTGAGACCTGCTCCCTATTCTGAGACCACCAAAGGCATTATTTTGTTCACTTCCCCTGGATTAATAAATTGTTATAACTAGCAAGAACTTCAGAAATCATGTAGTCCAATCCCCCAACTATATAGTTGAAAGAAAAGACAAAGCAGTTTAGTAAATTGCCAAAGGTCATACAAGGTCATGGTTTTTAGTGGAGCCAGGATTCAGGCTAAGACTCAACTTACCTTTTCTACCACATCAGGACACCTCATTCTGACCAGCTCCTCTTTATTGAAATGGATGGAATGAGAACAATCAGCCAGGTAGATAGATGTGGGAGGTGGAGACTGACATTAATTTTTTAATGGCAAAAACGCAATGTGGAAGAACATACTACTAAGGGGACTTCACATATGTCTCCATTGACTCTTTGAAAGTCATGCTTTTGGAGGCAGCTAAGTGGTGTGGTGGATAAAGCACTGACCCTGGAGTCCGGAGGATCTGAGCTTGAATTCGGCCTCAGACACATAACATTTACCAGCTGTGTGACCCTGGGCAAGTCATTTAACCCCAATTGCCTCATGCCCCCCCCCAAAAAAAGTCATGCTTTGAAATGCAAAACAAGTAGTTTCTAAAGGTAGGCAATCCCACCAATGTGTACAGATGTCAAGCATCTAGACGCGGCCAGGACAGCTTATTCAAATGTTCTCAGCTTCACTAATCTGAAACACAATCTGCTTCCATGAAAATAAAGTCCAAGTGGAACACAGAGTGATTATAGTGGTGAACGCTAAGTAAAATTCAAGATGCTTCAAAACAAAATCTTTTTAGTGCCTGGGTTTCCTCTCCTAGCTCACTCTCTGGGATAATGTTTATGGAAATTATGATGCTCTAAAACAGTCTTTTATGGGGTGCTCTAGTTTAATAGCAAAGGCCTTTTTAGTAGTTTATTATGCCACTGACTATAAAGCAAGATTAACTCTCTTAAAGGGTATTATTGAGTCTGAAGGGGTGTTATCTTAAATCCACAGATCTCACCCAGTGAGAATTGCAGAGATACTTAACTGGGGAAGAACACAGGTAACTGTTTATGTATGCAGTGATGCAATATCAGATAGTTAGCAAATTGAATGAAGTAGTATGCCATCTTTGAATTACAATTCATTTTTTCTGCATTTGCCCTATGGTGTGTATATTACAAATAATGAGATGCATGTTTAAAAGGTTCACTTAAATCACTTAGGAATTCATTGCAAAAGGACCCTGGTCTTTTAACAAGGTCATGTTTTTTTAGACAGTGGGAGAAAAAAATCTTTCCTCTAAGACTTTGAGTTAAGTAGGCAGTACTAGAACTAACACACAGGCATAGCTTTGGAGCAAATGGGAACCTAGGTGGTAAAGTGGATAGAGCACTAAGTTTGAGATCAGGAAGGCCGGAGTTCAAATCCTGCCTCAGACACTTCCTAGCTTTGTAACCCCGGACAAATCTCTTTAAAAAAAAACAACTCTCTCGGCCTTCCTTTCTTTATCTATAAAATGAACCTTTGGGACTCAATGGCTTCTAATATTGCTTCCAGCACTAAAGCTATGATCCTTTGGTTCTAAAAAGAGTAGTGTTTAAATCTACTCAAGGTCAAAAGACAAAAAGATAAAAGAGGGTTTAATATGTTGTTGTTCAGTCGTTTTTCAGTCATATCTAACTCTTCTTGATCCCATTTGGGGTTTTCTTGGCAAAGATACTGGAACGGTTTGCCATTTCCTTCTCTAGCACATTTTACAGATGAGGAAACTGAGGCAAATGGGGTGAAGTGACTTGCTCAGGGTCACACAGCTACAAGGTTTCCGAGGCCAAGTTTGAACTCAGGGTTTCGTGATTCCCAGCCTGGCGCTCTATCCACTGTGCCATTTAGTTGCCCCCAAGGCTTAATGTACTTGAGTCCATATAACAGAGTTACTTCAAGACATAGCACTCCTTCAAAACTTTGGACTAACGAGTTGATTTTGATTGGAGGTGGTGCCTGTCAATGGGACGCATCTCCTAGCAGCTTTGCATTCATATAGGGAGACAGACAGCTCTTTATTTTTAACCAGCATTCATAATGAAAGGGACAGTATACATACCTGATCATAAGATACTGGTGTTTGCCTGTGATTTGAAAGTTCAACTAATGTACTAACATCTGTGCGAAGATCAGACTTGCAGCCAACCAGCAGCATCTTGGTGTTAGGACAAAACTCCTGGATTTCACCTTTCCACTGGAAAAGAGATGGTTGGAACTTTAGGAACATGCTGGCAGACTTAGAGGACACAAATTAGTCTCTCTTCTTTGCTCACAGAAAAACGTTTTGTTTGGGATAAGGAAGTGAATTTGTCTTAAGTGTCTAGATACACTATTTTAAACATTATGAATTTAGGGCTGAGAAGGACCTCAGAGGCCATTTTACAGAGGGGAGAGATCAAGCTATTTGTCCAGCATTACAAAGGTAGGAATTGGCAGGGCTAAGATGGGAATTCAGATCCTCAGATTTCAAATTGTTTGTTTTTTGACAGTGGGTATAATTACATTACAAAATGCTAGCACATATTATTATCTGTTCTCCCTCCCCATGATTCATTATCTGTTCATACTGTGGGAGATACATTGTTGGTATTTGTCAGACATTAAAAATTTTTTAAATTATCAAATTACAGATAGGTATAGCAGGAAGATAAAAGACTATTAAGAGTACTTACAGATGCCAAAATTTCCAAATATTCTGAACCAGTACATCCTAGGCCATAAGCTAATTTCTAGGAGTTGATTTAGGCACTGCAGAATCAACTAGGTCACAGAACTCAATCTCTCACCTCTGACATCTATCTTGGTGGCTCAGATGCTGTTAAGATAGTCCCAGGCTTGAGGGACCAACTAATTACTCATTCTTAGTCGATGTTTCATAGTGAGGCCTCAGTGAACAAATTCACTTAGGAATGAAGCTCTTATGGTGTGTTGAGAACAATGAATAAGAAATCAATAAGCCTGGTTTTTAAGTTTCAACTCTGACTTTCTGTGTGACCGTAAGCAAATGAACTTCTCTGGACATTCTACAAAATGGGAGTCTTAGTCTCAGTGGGTTTTAAGTCTCCTTTCAGTTCTCTGAGTTTATGAATTTAGGGCTCCTTTCTAAATTTAATTAATATAACTTGATCTATGAATTTAGGGCTCCTTTCTAAATTTAATTAATATAACTTGATCTATGAATTTAGGGCTCCTTCTTTTGGCAATACTTCAAGGACATGATTTCATCCACATGGATACCTTGTTAACTGAGGCAAACTGCAACCCTTTCACATCTTAGCAGATGGTTTTCATGAGTTCCTTGGCCAAAAAAATTAACCGCCAGCCTTCTGGTGATAAGCCTCTTAGAACTTAGCTAGCCTGGTCCCCCCGTGACAGAGCTACAGTTCATCTTAGAGGCTATACTATATTTTCAAGCCTGAGGAGATAGGTCAAAGCTGGCACCCGGAGTGTAGAGACTTCTGGAACCCAGGGTCACCTCCACACCACAGTGAGGGACTGCAATAGTGACAAGATTAGTCACTTAAAAAAAAAAAACAAAACCCTTCATAAATCATGCAGAGCAGAGCTGTCTGCGTTGGCAGCTGCTTGGCAAAAATACCTCATCGCTCAGTTTGTTTGTCTTGGCCAAGCCAAAAGTAAACAGGGACTACCCCTAGGGATAAAGTCCTGATGTCTGAAAGGTTTATCTTCTCAGTCCCCAGTCTCTTCCTTTTTGCATTCTTTTCCCCATTCAGTAGCAGTCCCTGCTACCATTTCAGACACCCAGTGCCTTCCATTCCTTTGCCACTTCTTCCCTAACAACAGGAAAAGTTGCTGATAGAATCATGTATGCCTGCAGACTGACTGGTTACACTTTAACTGAACTTCATTCACTTATTTTTTTTTTAATTTGTTTTAATCTCTAACTGAAAAAGAGGCCTCTCCTCTTATTATCTTTCATTGTAGGAAGTTTTTCCAGCAGCCAGCATGGTGCCTGCACATAGTAGGTACTTAAAAAAATAGTAGTTGAATTATTGATAAAGGAACTTCAAATATCAAACAAAACAGGGATTGGAAGATTGTGTATGAGGGAGATTTGAGAGAGAAAGGTTCTAAATTAGGTGGCACAGTAGATAGAGCTCCAGCCTTGGAGTCAGGAGGACCTGAGTTCAAATCCAGCTTCAGACGCTTGACACTTACTAGCTGTGTGACCCTGGGCAAGTCACTTAACCTCAACTGCCTCGCCAAAAAACAAAAAATAAATTAAAAAAAAATGAAAATAAATTAGGTGGAGCACCTACTTGGTTGCTTCTGAAAATAACTGATTCTTTTCAGGTCAACTAAGGGAGAACAAAGGCTTGGCCATGCTTTCTATACTCAAATATTTCCCCACAGGAAAACAGCTGGGGAGAATGGGCCATCCTGGCTGAGGCTGCTGGAAATCTCTTCTCCATCTATAGAGGGTAACTTTATCCCCTCATCACTAGCTTCTTCTGGGACTGGGAGTCTGATGACTTAATAGGGTCCCAACTAGACCCATAACCTGGGCTAATTTTAACCCAACCTCTTCACTAGGGCTTCCAAATTCATAGGATCTTGACATCACAGAACTAGACCTCTCTTTACACATGAGAAAAGAGAGGCAGCCCCTCCCCCCACTCCCCACCCAAATTAAGTGCTTTGTCCAACATCACATAGATAATAGGTATGAGAAAGGAGATTTTGTACTCAGGTACCCTGACTCCAAATTCAGCATTTTTTTCATTGTACCAAACTACTTACAAAATTATCGATGGTTTTGGGTATGTTATATTTTATCCGTTTTTATACTAGAATTCATCACACTTGTCTCTTCTATTATCTTCTCCTTGGGTTATGAATTGTCTGATAAAGTGTTGTGTCAGATTTTGTCAATAAAGGTTTTCCTCAAAGCACTATGATGCCTGAATGTGGTCAACTTACATACTTGAAAACCAAGGAGAAAATAGCAAACTTACATACAATCAACAAGAATTCTTATCTTTACTAGTATTTCTTTCTTTCTTTTTTTTATATATTTGGCTAGGCAATGGGGTTAAGTGACTTGCCCAGAGTCATACAGCTAATAAGTGTTATGTGTCTGAGGCCGGATTTGAACTCAGGTCATCCTGAATCCAGGGCCAGTGCTCTATCCACTGCGCCACCTAGCTTCCCCACTAGTATTTCTTTCCACCGAAGTTTTTTTTTTTAAGATTTTAAAAATGCATGCTATTTTATAATCCTATGAAAGAATTTTCTGAAGTAGTGAGATTATCTACATTTGTAATACTAGTGCATGGCAAGTCTCCTTTAAAGAAAGCTCATGGTATTGGTGTAGCCAATGGAGTATTCTCTACAAAATCTAGTTACCAAGTCCAAGCTTGGATATTAACCTCTGTTAGTATTAACTCTTTAGTCAGATTTCTTTGATGGGTCACATGGCACTGAAATGTGTTCAAATTTTTCAAATACTTGCCTTTTTTAGGACACTGTCAAGAGTCTCTGGTCTACTGATGTCAAAACAGATCAATACAGCATCCGAATCAGGATAGGAAAGGGGACGGACGTTGTCATAATAAGGAGATCCTATAGAAAAAGGAAGATGTTTTAATTTAGAGCTTAAGACATCTCTTCAGAGACATACATTTACTTTGCTTATGTAAAGTGTCCAATCACATTTGCTTCCAACCCAACATCAATTTCCCAAATTAGCATTAATACTGGCTCCCACATCAGCATCCTGTTTAGGATGGGTGTCACACACACATATATACACACGTACACACAGAAATTGTATCAATAATTCATTTTTTAAAATTTAAAAGAAATAGGTTCTTATATATGTAATCCTTTAAAATAATAAAAAAAAATGATAAACTAAGAGCTAAAAGGACTCAGAGGTAATCTAGTCCAAACTCCTCACCCAGACTCCTAATTTTACAATGAGAAATTGACTGCCAATGAAGTTGAGGTACTTTCTCATTATCAAACAGGCAGTAGTAAAATGTCAGCCTTAGGATTTGAAATTAGGTTCCCTGAATCCAATTCCATTGCTCTTTCCATCGCACTATAAATCAGAGGTCAAAGCGGTTGGGACTAGAGCTCTGTATTAAAAACTTTAAAGTAAAAGACAGATACCTAAAATAATAGCTCACATTTATATGTCTTTTTGTGGTTTGCAAAGTATTTGATATGCACTGTCTTACTGCTTGATCCTTACAACTCTGTGAAGTAAGTACTCTTATTATTCCCATTTTATAGATTTGGAAATGAAGGACAAAAAAACCAGCATTCAAATCCAGGTCTTCTGAATACTAAGTCCAGTTATCTTTTTACTATACATCTTCTACTATACTACAGTGCTTTCCTCTGTGCCTCTAAAAGAGGTTAATACTAAAAATGTGCACAGGTTTTGGATGACCTGGCTTCCTTATTGCCCCTAGTGGATGGGAAGTATGAAACAAGCTTCTCGAAGGGAAAGCCAATAGAGAACGAATATAGATTCTTCTCCAGGACCCAAAAGGCAAGAGGATGCAGAGGTTAAAGAGCTTTAAGTATATAAGTAAGCTTAGTTGTGGGTAAGTTGGGAGGGACCCTTAGTTTAGCCTTTAAAGGTATGCTTATAATTTGAAAAAGCAAAAGACAAATTTCATGATGGACAGGACCAATGGTCTCTCTATATCACCCAGCATTCTGTCTTAGGCAGTAGTAGCATAGGCTGATTGAGGTAAGTATGTGATACCATCATACTGTATTAGAAACACCAGGAAAATGCCACACTCTGAATTAACAACTTATTACTGTAACCACCAGAACAACAACTTATTATTGTAACCACTAGAGAACACTCATACTCCTCAAAAGCTATTTTTATATATTCTTAAAGAACCCAAAGAACGTTAATTTCTATAGGGTGAACATTACAAGAAATTGTTTTCAATGCAAAATTAAATATGCCACACTCTCTAATTTGCTACTTGTTAATTTTGACATGCAGATGATTTAGAAGCACATGTATCTTAAATCATTGTACTGAGTTTGAAAATTCACTGTTAGCATATAGGAATTTGGTGGCAGTCTATAAGAAGAAAATTCAAAATTATGGGTGTTTCTGGCTTTCAGAGTCACAAAGCTTCTCACGTTGTAATGATTCAAGGCAAGCTGTACTTTTGACACTACTTTTTAAGCACAGAACACCCAATCTACCCTTGATGAATCAAAAGCTAAGTAAGTCAAAGTCAAGAGAAAAATACAATAAGGTGAGTTGTGTTTTTTGCAATCTTTAGAAATGCCAATTTAAAAAATAAATTTCGAAGTAAATTTGATTCTACTTAATAATCAAGGGTTGATTCTACTTAACAGTTGTCATTAAACAAAGTTGAAAGCTTTTTTCCCCCCAAAGCACTTTTTACATACATTTCTAATTTATCATACCAAACTTGTGAAGTAGACAGCACAAATATTCTTACCCCCATTTTACAGAAAAGGGCAAAGGCAACAAAGTGATAGATCAGAGGCAGGATTGAAACCCAGGTCTCTCCTAGAACTAAACGTGGCATCATACTGCCAACCTGGAAATTATTAAGGGCTTCTGCTATCTGAAGACTTTCTGTATATAAATCTGCTGAATTGAGGGGTTACATGGAAAAATTCAGCTATTCCATTTGTTTCACTGAGATAACGTAGGGCCAAACTGTGTGCCTGTGAAGCAAGAGGAAAAGGAATGTGCCAAAGATAAAGAACAAGAGTGTGAACAAGTGAAGATAGATCAGGCCAGCGGCTTGCACAGTTTACAGCTGCTTGACTTTCCAGTCAGGAATGAACGACCTAACCTAATGGGTGGACAGCTGGGAGATGCTTTGTCTTTGCCCATGTATACATAAAAATCAATCTCCTGAAGGTCAAAGGGGTGAGGGGCCTACTCATAAGGGCTCCTTTACAGACTGCATCTAAGAATGAGACCAGCTCTTAAACTAGGGGTTAGTCATATACCTATTAACCTCATGATTGGGAGTGATAATTATTCTAATAATGTAATGATACAGTAATTTAGAAAGTTTTGAGTAGGAAGTTAATAGGTTCTGGCTGGGCCAATAATATCAGGCCCCTAATGCTTGTGGCATTCCTATCCATTTCTTCATTTTGACTCTCAGGCTCAAATTTTCTCTAAGTCTTTCTACTTTTCCTATTTCTAGGTTTAAGAGCTAAGTTTTACAATACTCCCATTATAATTATTTGCTAATTGCTCTGCAATATAATTTCAAATTTTGTAGCAGAAATCTAAATTTTCAAAATCATTATCAACATCTCCTTCGTCCATAACACACATAATTCTTTCTCTTAAGACATTCCCCAAAGTCAGAAGTTTAATGAAACTCTTAGAGACCTTCCCAACCACACATAGTTAGCTTTTAGAACAGCCTACCAAGAAAATTCTGTAATTCCTTTTAAAATCTATTGGATTCTCTTTCTTGGAACTATTATTTAAAAAGCCAGTCATCTCTCTAGCTTTAGCTTTCACCTGAAAGGGCAGGATCTCTGTGAATTCTTCCTAACTCAAGAACTCTGGGCTATTAAAACTATTACAACTCTATGCTTTCCTTACCCTCTTCCCCCACCAAAGAAAAAAAAAATTCTTCACTAGACATCAATCCCTACTTTAGTATTAAGTCAGTGCTACACAAGAAAGAGTACTGGATCTAGAAAGAGCTGGGTTCCCATCGCACCTTTGGGAAAGTCACATTTCTTTCTTTAGCCACAATTCTTCATTTGTAATATGAAGGTGTTACCAGCTCTACATCTATGATGCTGTGCAAAATGCTGCTTTGGGAAAAGCCTTATCCCTTTGTGTGCTTAAAGCATTTTCCTCTCCCCATCCCTCCTGTCTTAAGAACTAGAAAAGTTGAGTTCTCTCGTCACTTTGTTACAGGTTCACTGCTCATACTTAGCTGTGTTCAAATGCCCATGTTCACACAACGTGTTAAGTGTGTGTGGTGGAATCTGAATTCAGATCTTTCATAAAAAACCCTGTAACAGTGTTCAACAAAAACAAAGAACTTTTTTTTCAGGGAAGCAGTGAACTTATCTGAAGTGAACCTAGATGAAATTAGGATGCAACCCTATTTTCTTGCACTAAGAAAACGTGTTTCTTTCTTAGTAAAACATAGCACAAATTATAGAATGCCCTCACTCCTACTTCTGCACTTCTTCATATTAAGAGATGTATATGAAAAAAAGGAGATATATATGCATGATATAGCCATGCCTAATAACAACAACTAGAGGTAAGGAAATCTAGAAAACCAAGGGAACCCACAAAATCCATTTAGCTAACTAAGCTCCCTTAGAAACCCCGTGGCAAAGTTTCATCTTATGTTCTCTCAGAGTTTTCATCATTTTTAAGGTCAGTCTTAGAATTTCCCTTGAAAGTTGATGCTGGTACACAAAGAAAGCAAAAATGTTGTGAGACTGCATGCTTTAATCACTAAACACTTGTTAGATAACTCACAGTGCAAAGAAAAGCTAAGAATTCCAGGAATTCCCTCGCGAAGTGAGAAGTAACATCTGGAAGAGAGAACCTTACCAAACTAGGTATCAGAGGATAATCTGTTGAAAGAACTGCCCCTCAGTGGGGGGGGGGGGGGGGGGAGAAGGAACCTCACCACCAATGTCAAGTCCCATATGGGGGGGGGAGGGATTTTTTGGAAAGATTTTTATGTTGCCTTTTAAAAGGATCTAGTATAAATTTAGAGCAGAAGGCAGCAGCAGAAAGAATGCTAAAAAATTCACCATGACTCATGGGTTCTGTTTCCTAAACACTTGAGAAAGAAATAAAGTCCATTTTTATCATCTCAAGTGTCTGTCTTGGGCTGCAAATGTCCTGTGAGGTTCTATTTGCCCCTTTTCCATTATTTGCTTTCATGTGAATGAAAAGTTCAGCTTTTTCATCCTATCATTTCTCTTAAGAGTGACACTGAATTTTTAATTAAATCTCATTCTTATAACTCTTTCATCCTAACATGTAAGAGTCTTTGAAAGGGAATCCCCTCCCAAGAAAATCAAAATACTAAATGGATAAGTAAACCCTCAAAATAAATAAGTATATATTTTAAAAAAACTGAAGAATTTGCCTGGGGGTGACAGGTATAGTAGCACTTTTTTTTCCCCACAGGTCAACTGAGTTATAATGCTTGGAACTTGGCACATACAAGTGGCAAAGCAGAAAACGCCTTTTGAAAGTTCATGTCTGCCCATCTTTGTCTTTAAGATCATTAATTCTGGGTGAGAGCAAAATTTCCAACCCAAGAATAGTCACAAAGTGCCTCACCCTGAAACTAATTCTTCAGACACATACCTGTCTGCTTAAGTCACAGCTTCTCAAAGACAGAACAGACCATATATGTCCATAATTAAATGTATATATACACAGATTCCAGCCCAAAAGGGAGCCTGTTTAGATCCACTTACAAACATTTTGAAACTTTAAAAAAGGTTGTTACTGAATGGTCTAATTCAGTATTTCTATTATAATATGGGTCTTAAAGTAGGTAGTTTTCTTACTACTTTAAGGAATTTAAAGCAAACTA